CCATGGCAGCAGCTGAAAGTCTCACCGGGCTGGGAGAGTCGGGTAGGTCAGCAGCAGAGGAACACAGCTCAGGAACAGCAGCACGGCTCCTCAGGCGGCTCGGGCGGCTCGGGCGGCTCGGGCGGCTCGGGCGGCTCGGGCGGCTCGCGCGGCTCGGGTGGCGTAGGGGCTCACGGGCGGCGCGGGCTGCTGGGGCTGCTCACGTGCAGCACGGCGGGCTGCAGCAGGGGCCGCGGGGAGGGCTGTAGCGGGGCCGACGGCGGGCCGACGGCGGGCTGTAGCGGGGCCGGGGCGGGCTGTAGCTGGGCCGGCGGCGGGCTGTAGCAGGGGCCGGTGGCGGGCTGTAGCGGGGCCGGCGGCGGGCTGTAGCTGGGCCGGCGGCGGGCTGTAGCTTGGCCGGCGGCGGGCTGTAGCTGGGCCGGCGGCGGGCTGTAGCAGGGGCCGGTGCGGGCTGTAGCTGGGGCCAACGGCGGGCTGTAGTGGGGCCGGTGGCAGGCTGTAGCAGGGCCAGTGGCGGGGTGTAGCGAGGCCAGTGGCGGGCTGTAGCGGGGCCGACAGCAGCTGAAGCGGGACCGGCGTAGGGCCGTGGCGGGGCCGACGAGGTCTGGGCGGGGCCGACGAGGGGCCGAAGTGGGGCCTAGGCGGGCCGGCGGGGCCTAAGCGGGGCCAACGCGGGGCCGACGGGGCCTAAGCAGGGCCAACGCGGGGCCGACGGGGTCTAGGCGGGGCCGACGCGGGGCCAAAGCGGGGCCTAAGCGGGGCCGACGGGCCTAAGCGGGGCTACGCGGGGCCGACGTGGGGCCTAAGCGGGGCCGACGGGGGGTTACGCGGGGCCGACGTGGGGCCTAGGCGGGGCCGACGAGGAGCCGACGGGGTTTAGGTGGGGCCGACGCGGGGCCTAAGTGGGGCCGACGGGGGCTACGCGGGGCCGACGAGGGGCCTAGGCGGGGCCGACGAGGGGCCTAAGGGGGGGGGGGGGGGGGGGCCGACGAGGGGCCTAAGCGGGAGCACGACGGGGAGGGCGACACGGAGGGTCGCTAAAAAAAATGCGCGCCTCGGGGCGCGCTTCGGTGGGCCCTAGGAACAGGCCCTAAGAAGGGACCTGCTCTGATTCCATGAGAAAGTGTGAACGAGAATGAATGACTATGAAGTGAAGTGAATACAAATAGGAAACCCTAATTGTGTTGTACCCCCTATGGGATACCCCACTATAGCCTACAGAAACAAGTAAGCTATATGTTCTGACAGTGGTGCCTTTAATGAAGCGGGCGTACGGATCTGGGCGGGAGATTGGACCGAGTGAGTCTCGCGGAGGTGTTGGCGGTACATTCCCCTCCTCAATCTCCGACCAGGGATCACGCCAGTGATGAGGTGAGTGAGGTGGTTTGTTAGTGCGAGGGGGTCTACCGAGGGGAATGGTTACTCGAGGTGATGCTTTGCCGTGCTCAGCTTCCTGTTCAGCTTCCTCCAATTCCTCTTGCGTGAGCTCCCCTTCGTCAGGCTCGTTGTTTCCCCATCCTCCTATGGTGACCGTGCCGGTTCCCCATGCTCCAGTTGCAGAACCCCAGGTTGCGCCTTCTTCTGGATCAGCGGGCTCGTTGCCCCATCCTCTGCGCGCAGTGTCTGGATCCCATCCTGCCGCGATGCGCTCCTCATACAGCTTCTGCCGCTTCTCTGCTTGGGCCTTCTCTTGTTCTTCTTTGACGCTCAACTCCTCTGGTGCATCAGGGTCTTTCCAGGCAGGGTCAATCTCGCGGCGGTAGACTTCGCGAGTGTACGGGCGCGGACGTCATTCTTCGTCGAGAGTGCGCGTGTTGGCTTCGAGGACGAATCGTAGGGAGTCCGAGTAAGGCCTTGGTCTCGCCTGCTTTTCTTGGCCAAATTTCTTGCTTGGCTCACCGAATATGCGGTGTGTTGATATGGCGAGTTCTTCTTCAGTCATGCCTGCTGGTTCTGTCTCAGCGCTTTCTGCTTCCTGAATTGCCGCTTGCTCCTTTTCCACTTGCTCCGTTTGACTTGCGGTTGGTGTGTGACAGGTGGTGCACAGTCCGTGGGCGTCAGGTTCGTGAAGATTAATTTCACGCGGGTGAGGGCTTCGACGAACCCACGGTCTTCCATCAGGATGCTCCCAAGACTCCTTGTTCATGAAAGCGAACTCGAGGGGGACAAGATCCACGAGCTCGTCTGACGAGGCTTGGCAGGGAGGTATGTCGAAGTCTAGGATATAGATCCCATTGATGGAGCGAGCTCGTCCGAGGTACTTGAATGCCTCAGGAGAAGTGTCCGGGGGAGCGTAGGTGAGGATGAGATCGCGCGTCGTGAGGTCCGTATGAATGATGACGCCGCAATCGCGGAGCTGTCCAGCGGAGAGCAGGTTGAAGCGCAGGTTCCGGACGTAGAGTACGTTGTTGAATGATATGTGCGTGTTGCTATCTCATGCTTGCAGGACAACAAGTCCTTGTGAGTTGGCGCGCAGCTGCTCGTTGTTGGCGACGGTGACATAAGTTGCAGGGGCGCGACTTAGGTTGGAGACATAGCGCGTGGACCCCACCATGTGCTGGCCACAGCAGCTGTCCAGGTACCAGGTGTTGTAATTGTCAGTGTTGTTACGGCGCAGCAGCAGCGCCAATCGTGGAGTTACCAGGGTGGTCTTGAAGCGCCTGTGGAAGTAAGGATCTTCGTCCTCCTTCCAACCCACTGGTACGTAGTGCTGATTTTCGTGAGGCAGGCTTTCCCGCAGCGTGATTGGGAGGTTCCAGTCCTGCTCGTCTTCGTCGTACAGGTAGTAGTAATCCTCGGTGAAGGGATTATTCCATCCCTCTTCTGGTTCCAGAAGTCTTCCTTGGACTTCGTTCTCCTCGTCAGGTTTAGTGGTGCGCCGGCGGCGTGTCGCCATGTTTGCGATGACGTTCCTAGGAGCTCCTGACTGTGGTCCTTGATTTTGCTGGTGTTGCGCAGGAGGACGAGCTTGCTGATGCTGAGGTTGAGGATGACGAGCGTCTTGTCGGCCGACCCAGTTATTGTGGTGAGTGGAATTTGGGTGGCGGTAGTTGGATCGGGATTTACATCGATCCGTTGAGTGTCCGAAGACTTTGCATATTTTGCAGTAATGGCGCCTTGGTTGTCGTCGCTCTTCTCGGTTGTCCGTGTAGAAGGCGAGGCGCTCTCGGCGCGGCGCGGAGCTTGTTCTGCTCGAGTCCATATCCTGCTATTCGGATAGGAGTGCGGCGCATAGCGCGGCTTCTGAAATTGTTCCTCGCTGTCGGAGTAACGCTTTGCAGGGCTTCCACTCAGGCCCGAGTCCTTGAAGGACTATATTGACGAAAATCTCTTCTGAGATCGTACTCCCATGCTTCGTGATCTGGTCACGGATGTTGCGACAGCGGTTAATGTATGGATTTGCCTTCTCCCCGTGCCCCATCTTTATCTCCAGGAGTTGCTGGAGAAGCCTGCTGGCGGTGACCGAATCCTTCGGCTGGTAAACTTCAACGAGGTGCTTCCAAGCTTCCATTGCTGGAGCGTCGCTCTCTTTGTAGGAGCGTATGTTGAGTTCTTCCGCAGGCGTCATGTTACGTAGCAGCACACTGTAAGCCATGAGGGACTCACTGTAGTACTGAGCCCTGGCGACGTCGGTGTTTTCCACCGGTTTAGGGTAGGAGCCGTCGAAGTAATGGTAGATCTGCGCTGTTTGTAGGAGGAGCTCCAGCTCAAAACTCCATGTGTAAAAATCCTTGCCGTCAAACGCGGCAGTAGTCTTAATCTTTGAAACGCTGAGGAAGCGTGTTTGCGCAGAGTTGATAGCCTCATCACATGGACGGGGGGCAGTTGTTGCTGATTTGTCTGTGTCGAGGGAGAAGGTGTGCGCGGCGGTATCATGGCTTTTCTCAGCCGGTTGTCCAGGTTGTGCTGGTTGGGAAGAGATTCCCGCATCGCCTTTGCGCAGTTCTTGGGGTTTTTTTCTCCATAGTTGAAAGTCGAGCGAAAATTTGCTCGAGGGTGGCAGTGCCGATTGTGGTTGTCGCCTCACTTGTCGCAGCTGGATTGGTTTGTCCTTCAGCCGTTAGATTTGGTTGGCCTCCGGATCCTCCGTCCATCTTGGTCTTGGAGCGTGTGCCGCTCGCCATGTCTTGATTCGGCGAATTTCACGGAAGTGAAGTTGCGAAGAATCCCTGAGTAGCTCTCATACCATGTTACAATCCCAAGTGGGACTTAGCAAAGGATCGCTCAGGGTTGATCGCGGAGTAGTATTGCAGCGGAAGTTTGAATCTCAGGTCAGAGTAAATGTAAATGACTGAGTTGATAATAACATGCATACATCGGGTTTATATATGAGTACAAGGGAATACGAAAGGACCTAGACTAGCCATGTACTCTAAAGGGTACATTCCCTTATTACAACCGAATTCAAAAACCGTGCAGCGCGGGAACCCGTTCAAAACCTGTTCCCGCTCTTTTCACTTCAAATGTTTCTGCCTGCATCGGTCTTGGTCTGACGGTTGTTGCGTCGCTTCGGCTCTTCTGACTCCTCAACTTCGTACTCGGTAGAGTCGGCTCCTGCAGCATACAGGAATGCCTTCTCATGAAACTTCACATCGTAACAAACCCAAATGCAAATTGTCATATTGAGAAAGAACATATAGAAATATGTACATCTAGAAATATGAGATAAAAAATCGCTGAAAGAAACACGTGACTAGAAAATCCTTAGCGGTGTGTTCAACACCAGAGAATCCTTGTGGAAACCATTGATCGGGCGGAATGGGCGAGGCAAACACAGGAAATGTAAACGAAGCCGAAGCATTTCGCTAACATCAGCTTTCCTGTAGGTATGAATCGAGAGACAATGAAACTCCTCCGTGCAAGCTCCACACCAACTGAAGCTTTTGTCATTCCGCAGATTCCCGAAGCGCCCACCTTGAAAGCAGCTGCAAGGTAGGTATGGCCTAGCAGCTTTGAAGCACCTGAACCTAAAGCTACCCCTCCCCCCTCGCTGTTTTGCGATGACGCCTCTTCGTTTCGTCTCCCCGTGCTCACAGCTGTTCCGCGTCTCCAAGTGCGTGAGTGCAAGCGGAAGCGGGAAGCGGGCGGCGATGGGGGCGGGGAAGCACGCGGTGACGCAGGAGGCGTTCGACGCGCTGGTGCGGGAGGCGATGGACGAGTTCGACATGGCGCCGGCCGAGGCGGTCGACGACGCCGTGCGCACCCTCACCATGCAGGGCGCTGACCTCGCAGGTGCGCCCCTCACCATGCAGGGCGCTGACCTCGCAGGTGCGCCCCTCACCATGCAGGGCGCTGACCTCGCAGGTGCGCCGTTGCTTCGCGCCTCCTCGCGGCTGCAATGGTGAGTTTGTGTGTTTGAGGGGGGAGGGCGGGGGCGGGGGGGGAGCGTGGGCAGGAGGGCAGCGAGTGCGGGGCGCGGGGAGGGCGCCGTTCAAAGCAGTGCGCCTGTCGCTCCCAGGCACTACTACGCCGTGCGCTGCTCCCCGGCCCCTCCCATGTCTGATTCGCCTCGCAAGCCCGTGCCGTGCACTGTGTGGTGTGGATAGCTTGGCGGGGGACTGATGAGGAATGGACGACCCACTCGTTGTCCCGTGAGGTCCTCTTCCACCGCCCTCGCACGCGCTGTGAGGTCCTCCTCCACCGCCCTCGCACGCGCTGTGAGGTCCTCCTCCACCGCCCTCGCACGCGCTGTGGGCAGCTTATTACCCACGTTGGCAAAGTGTTTTCCCGTCCACCCCGCGTGCATGGCCTGGCAGGCATCGTGGCGGCGTACAGCGCCACTGGGCAGCGCGCCCAGCACCCCGCAGCAGCGGCAGCAGCACAGCTTGCAGGGGCGCTGGCACGCTGGAAGGAGAGACACGGGGGGGGCGAAGGTGAAGGTGCTTATAGCGGTGCTGACTTCCTTGTGAGTGTTTGGAGGGGGGTCGGGGGGGTCGGCAGGGAGGTGGGTGGGTAGAGAGCAGAAGGGATTGTAGAAGGTTAAACTAGAAATAGCACGCCAAAATGTCCACATCTTGCTGTCAAAACACCCTCGTGCACTCAACGGTTCTGAGCAAAAAAAACACCAGCGTGTGCAAAACTCTCCTGTACCAGATCCACACTTGGGGTTTGTCAGAAAATAAAGTTTTTTTTTATATAAGCTTTTTACCCGGCTCAGGTTCGGGTAGGCTAAAACTGCGTTCATCACCCCTGGTTTTTTGCAGCTCAAATGCCTTGCAGTTTCGCGATTAGGCACCTATCCTTTTTTTGTCAGCTGCAAAATTCCGAAGATGGGAGGAGACCTGCCGGCACGGAACTCTCTGAACGGGTTCTTTCAAATCCGCCGCCTAGCCCGATGCCGTGTGCACGCCGAACAGGGCCAGTGTGTGTGGTGCATCTAAGGGCCAGTGTGTGTGGTGCATCTAAGGGCCAGTGTGTGTGGTGCGTCTAAGGGCCAGTGTGTGTGGTGCGTCTAAGGGCCAGTGTGTGTGGTGCGTCTAAGGGCCAGTGTGTGTGGTGCGTCTAAGGGCCAGTGTGTGTGGTGCGTCTAAGGGCCAGTGTGTGTGGTGCGTCTAAGGGCCAGTGTGTGTGGTGCGTCTAAGGGCCAGTGTGTGTGGTGCGTCTAAGGGCCAGTGTGTGTGGTGCGTCTAAGGGCCAGTGTGTGTGGTGCGTCTAAGGGCCAGTGTGTGTGGTGCGTCTAAGGGCCAGTGTG